GCTGCAGATGACGACTCTCGTGGTGTATGTCCTCAGCGGGGTGGGGGTGTTGTGCTGGGTGCTCTAAGGAGCCACTGAGACAAAATTCTTATCAAATGGGCTTTTACTGTGTTAACTCAGCTGTTTGCAGATGGTTGTGTTGGTCATACTTTTGCCCTGTACTGACCTATCACTGGTATCACCTTCAGATCCATATCTCCAAGAAGTATGGCTTCACCAAGTTCAACGCCTCTGACTTTGATGACATGATGGCTGAGAAGCGTCTGATCCCCGACGGCTGTGGGGTGAAGTACATCCCCAGCAGAGGCCCTTTGTCCCGCTGGAAGGCCCTTCATGCTGTGTAGGCTTTGACAAGAGACAGCCAATAAAAGTGGGTTTGATTACACAAGTGATTGTGGTGATGGCTCTGATTTTAACTTGTAGGATTCCTCCATTAGGCAGATGTGTTCAGACTTGGTCTGTGGGACGGGTAATGTTTAGACTTGAGTGACAGTTTATGTAAAGTTTTGATTTTCATGACCTTTTTTAATAGTACTTGTACTGATAGAGCACATTTACAGATTTCATCCCAGGTAGTTTCATATAATTATAACCTCTGACCTTAGTGTCTTTACTATGAAACCAAAAAGAAAATTGTGAACTTTGACTTAAATGATTTGACAGAGGCAATGTTGCCTTAGTATTATAAAATGTCAGTTTTTGTCAGCTGTGAGGTTTTGAATGGAAGGTATTAGCTCAGAAAAGGTTTGTGCATCCAAATAAGCACATTGATTTTAAATGGGAAAATAACCATGGGAACAGCCTGAGCTCAGATCAGCACAATGCTGCAGTAAGGACCCGCTGGTGAGTCAACTTGTAAGTATGCAACAACCTGAAAGATCCAAACCTGTGAGTGAGGTCAGGTACTACAGTACTTTGATCAGCATGTGCCTTTTACTACACTGATTCTATGGCTTAGTCTTTCTAGAATATTTAACTTTTTATTCAGCACGTCAGCTCTGGACATAAAGGGACTACAAATGTAAATTCCAAATATGTAAATAGACGGTTTTTTCTTTGATGCATATAAATCAGTACTAGTGCAAAATAATATACTGAAATCACTCAGCAAATAAAGTCCTTCCAACACTTACAGAAAATATTTATGCAATATATTGCTCACAGTAAGAAGCTGTTTGAGAAAATATGATTTAGGGCCTTTAAATAAATGGCAAAAATTTGTCAGGCACTTAATGTAGAACATTCAGGGCCACTTCATTTGCATGGTCTCTGAACTTTGCATGTAAATGTAAGATTTCAGACATTTCATTTTTAACATTTACATAAATGTAAAAATAAAAAGTCACTATGTATGGAAAATATACATTTACTGTACACTGCCATCTTAGCGCTTCCATTTTTCCAGTTGGTGCAATTCAGCAGCCTAACACACCTGTGTCAGTCTTTCTACAACTGAAATCACATGTTGGGACAGAAATTACCATAGACGTGTTGTGCTTGTAGTTTGCTTTCACTATTCATCTGGAAAGTTTCGACACTGCTGCCATTACATCATTTAAAGCCGAATGTCTTGGTTCTTTCCTCCTACACAGCCTGGAGGAGTTTTGGGGTCATTATCCACAAGACAACCAAAAACTACAATCTTAAAAATAACGTCTGAGCTTAAGAAACTCTATTTTCTTGTTTTTAACGGCTCAGTATTTTTCAAACAATTTACAGTGTCTTTCAAAAGTATTCATACCCCTTGAACCTTTCCACATTTTATCATGTTATAACCACAAACAAATGTATTTTATGTGATAGACCAACACAAAATATCGCATAATTGTGAAGTGGAAGGAAAATGATACATGGTGTTCAAAATTTTTTACAAATAAAAATCAGAAAAGTGTGGCGTGCATATGTATTCAGCCCCCCTGATTCAATACTTTGTCAAACCACCTTTCGCTGCAGGTCTTTTGGGGTACATCTCTACCAGCTTTGCACATCTAGAGACTGCAATTTTTGCCCATTCTTCTTTGCAAAATAGCTCAAGATCAGCCAGATTGGATGGAGAGCGTCTGAACAGCAATTTTCAAGTCTTGCCACAGATTCTCAATAGGATTTATGTCTGGACTTTGACTGGGCCATTCTAACACGTGAATATGCTTTAATGTAATCCATTCCATTGTAGGTCTAGCTGTATGTTTAGGGTCGTTGTCCTGCTGGAAGGTGAACCTCTGCCCCTGTCCCAAGTCTTTTGCAGCCTCTACCAGGTTTGCACTTCCCTGTATTTAGCTCTATCCATCTATCCATCAACTCTGACCAGCTTCCCTGTCCCTGCTGAAGAAAAGCATCCCCACAGCATGATGCTGCCACCACCATGTTTCACGGTAGGGATGGTTTGTTCAGGTTGGTGTGCAGTGTTAGGTTTCCGCCACACATAGCGTTTTGCATGTAGACCAAAAAGTTCAATTTTGGTCTCATCGGACCAGAGCACCTTGTTCCACATGTTTACTGTGTCCCCTACATGGCTTGTGGCAAACTGCAAATGGAACTTCTTATTGCCTTTTTTCAACAATGGCTTTCTTCTTGCCACTCTTCCATAAAAGCCAGATTTGTGGAGTACATGACTAATAGTTGTCCTGTCGACAGATTGTCCCACCTGAGCTGTGGATCTCTGCAGCTCCTCCAGAGTTACCATGGGCCTCTTGGTTGCTTCTCTGGTTAATGCTCTCCTTGTCCGGCCCGTCAGTTTAGATGGATGGCCATGTCTTGGTAGGTTTGCAGTTGTGCCATACGCTTTCCATTTTCAGATTATGGATTGAACAGTGCTCAGTGAGATGTTCAAAGCTTGGGATATGTTTTTATAACCTAATCCTGCTTTAAACTTCTCCACAACTTTATCCCTGATTTGTCTGGTGTGTTCCTTAGTCTTCATGATGCTGTTTGTTCATTAATGTTGTCTAACAAGCCTCTGAGGCCATCACAAAACAGCTGTATTTATACTGAGATTGATTTACACACAGGTGGACTCTATTTACTAATTAGGTGACTTCTGAAAGCAGTTGGTTGCACTGGATTTTATTTAGGGATACAAGAGTAAAGGGGGCTGAATACATATGCACGCCACACTTTTCAGATTTTTATGTGTAAAAAATTTTGAACACCACGTATAATTTTCCTTCCACTTCACAATTATGCGATACTTTGTGTTGATCTATCACATAAAATCCCAATAAAATGCATGTACATTTGTGGTTGTAACATGACAAAATGTGGAAGGGGTATGAATACTTTTGCAAGCCCAGGTATTTGTACCTGCCCAGAGTGATCAGTACAACTGATAACACTAGTGCTACTTCATATCAGGCAGACAACACACACAGTTCATTAACACATAAATTATGCATGTACAAATCAACTTCCATCTGTTACCACAGGTCATATTTTATATACCTGTACACCGTTTTACCAAACATTAAAACCCCTAGAAAAATATGACATTTAAATTTAATTTGCATTAAATCCTACAACAAATCTATAAGTTAAATCAATCCAATAGAGAGACCACCAACATCTGAACTAGATATCAAGTTAACAAACTATCATAGTAAAAAAAAAAGGGATGTCTTTACAAAAACAGTGTGAGAATCAATTCTTTATTCATGTGAACTGGGGCCAAACGATAGAGTCTGAACATCCATATAAAACCATATTTGATGATGCTGTCAAACAGTCCCAATGATTTTTTTTTCATACAAGTTCATTATAAACTTGCCTAAAACCTGTCTGGTAATGTGGAAAACAACACTTTGGTCATTTTGTTATTTTTGATAGTAATGTCACTGTACAAATGCATATGAGGGAACATTTTTCATCTTAAAAGTCCCACAGTTTTATATGCCAGCGATTTAAGCCAGTTGTACGTACTTTGCTCCCACAAAGACAACATCATCCTAAAGTTCGCGGATGACACCGCAGTGATAGGTCGCATCACTGGCGAGGACGAAGCAGCCTACAGGAGGGAGGTGGCCGGTCTGGTGTCATGGTGCAAGGACAATAATCTCAGCCTCAACACGGACAAGACGAAGGAGATGATAGTGGACATGAGGAAGGAGAGGAGATCTCATCGGCCACTGTTCATCCGGGGGCTCGAAGTGGAGAGGGTGAGCAGCTTCAAATACCTGGGCGTCCACATCATTGAGGACCTCACTTGGACACTTAACACCACACAGCTGGTCAAGAAGGCCCAACGGCGGCTGTACTTCGTGAGGAGGCTGAGGAGGTTTGGCATGTCGCCTAGGATCCTTTGCAACTTCTACAGCTGCATCATCAAGAGCATCTTGACCAGCTGCATCACTGTCTGGTATGGCAGCACTACTGCTATGGACCGCAAGTGCCTGCAGAGAGTGGTAAAGACTGTGGAGAAGATCACCAGGACTCCACTGCCCTCTCTGCAGAGCATTTACCACCGCAGGGTGCGTAGGAAAGCTGCCTCCATCCTCAAAGTTCCCACCCACCCCCAGCATGGAGTGTTTGCCTCCCTACCCTCTGGCCGGAGGTTCAGAAGTGTGAAATGCAGGACCATTAGACTTTCTTTTCCTCTGCCATCAGACTCCTAAACAGCTGAGGAGTTTACTACCAGGAAATATGTGATGTACTGTTTACATTCTCAGTTTGCACATGCATAATTGCACATTGACTGTTGACTGCTGCACATGCTGCTCCAATGCAGCATACATTCTCTTATTATATTCTTATACATTTTTATCATAGAAAAACAATGAAACAAAATCTCTTTGTATATTATATTGTGTATTGTTTATTTTAACCTCACACTTTGACTGTTGAAGTTTTAAGTTAGTTGTTCTAACATTTGAATGTAAGTGAAGTAAATTCTGATCTTTTGACTTATAAAACTGAAGAATCTCTCTCACCAGCGCAGTCTCTCCTGCAGCCTGCAGTTAGACTCCTTGTAGCCAGAGAAATCCCTCCCACAGAAAACTCATTGGCCAGGGCAGCTTCAGTTTTCACAAGAGAGGAAATAGCAAGAAACAGCCAAAGCCCACAAGTCAGAGAACCAACAAACCTGGTGAGTAGCTGTTACTTTACTTTGATCCACACTTACTCTTGTAAAGAGTGAGTCATGGGAAGAAAATGCTACTGTGGAACATGACTTGTAACCTTAGATGTCCATTTGTTAGTGTGTGTGTGTTTGTGTGTGTATTTGTAACTACTACTATGCTGACAGTACTCACTCACTGCTTACCATGAGCAACATATCTAGGCAGAATGTTAACTATTTACAGTTATTTTAATGCTGTAAATAGAGAGATTGTGTATAGTTAAGTGAACCGTGTGTGTTGGTGGAAAAGAGAAGTGTAACTAGAAGCTGTAAACCACACAGTAGACTGTGATGAATTGCACCACAACGTCATCTTTGTTTTCCTTCTAACTCTACATGAGCACAGCAGCAGTGGAAGTCTCTCCTGTTCCTTTATCTGCTTACAGCTCTGTGTGTGACTGCATGTGATATGAACACATATCTTCGTGTGCCTGTGTGCTGGGTTCATGTAAGTTCAAATAAGTGATAGCAGTTAGTGGACTTTTTTTATGGCAGTTGTGTTGCCTCTGGGCTAAGTCTAAGGATTACTGAAAAACATCACCATTAATATAACAACGAGATTACTTCATTAGCTCTACGCACAGTCATTGTACTCAGACAAAATGAAAATAAATGATACAAACCTTGGGCTGAAAATGTGTCATAATCACATGACTGAATACTATTTTTAGGAAGTATGAACCGCTGTGCAGAGTTTCTGAATTTCATGTTCGTATGCTAAATATAGAGCTAAGAGCTGATTAGAAGTGCTAACATGTAACTTATTTTTACCTTTCTCTTTAAGTACAGATAAAATCAAATCAAGCTTTATTATAAAAAAAACCTTCATACAAGTTCATGCAAATTACAGTAAGGCAGAATAATGCAGTGGGGTAAAAATGAATAATAAACAAAGAATTTTCTCTGAGACCCTTGTAGTCCTCCACATGTCCAATTTTGTACAATATGTGCAGCCCACACTGTATTTACTACTGTTACACAAACCTTTTGTTTTTGTCTTTACACAGGCTACTGTCTCCTGCAGCTCTGTGCCATGAGGTCTTCTTCCCTCCTTCTTCTTTCCTTCCTGGTGGGAGTATGTGATGGTCAGGGGGCGTCAGATTTTAGAATCTGTGCCTTTAACCTCCATCACTTTGGGGATTCCAAGGCCAAGAAGAGCGATGTCATGTTAACTCTTGCCAAAGTAAGACAATGATTGATGCATTTGGTTGAGACACCTTGATATTTGAGCTCTGTCTTGAACATCAATGGTTTATTCCCTATTAAATTACTGCCCTCAAACAGCAAAGCTGAGTGGCAGCGATATGTGCAACTCGTTTAATACAGCACACCCATAGCTTAGGCTCACTACCATCATACTCACTTGCATTTCATACCAAAAAATCAGCATTCTCTCATTTTCCCTGTTGTGATATATCTTCCAGATCATCACCCGCTGTGATGTGTGTTTGCTTCAGGAAGTGAGAGATAGTAAAGGAAAAGCTTTACAACAGCTGCTTGACCGCCTTCACAGGTGCTTAATCACTTTTACACACATGCATATAACCCAGCACAGTGTCTGATTGTGTCCACTTCTCTCTCTCTGTGTCTCCTCAATATTCAGCTATGACACTGGACATGTGTATAAAGCTGTGGCCAGTGAGAGACTGGGCAGGTCTGAAACATACCGGGAGCAGTATGTGTTTGTGTACAGGTGAGCTGAACTGTGTGTGTGTGTGTCTACACTGGTGGCCCTTTGCAGCTCAACACACCAAGGCAGCTTCAGTACAGGCCGTATTGGAAGAAGTACTCACATCCCATATTTTAGTAAAAGTAACAATGCAATAGTGTAAAAAAAAAACTCCGTTGCAAGTAAAAAATGTTATTTAAGTAAAAGTTCAAAAGTAAAAAATAATCTTTATGCAGAATGACACATTTGATATTAATGCATTTCATATGATTTGATTATAACTACTGATGCATTACTGTGTTCATCACATTTAATGTTGCAGCTGACAAAGAGGGAGCTAGTTATGTTTATAATTTGAATTACTTGTACATGTAAATTTTCCATCAGAGATCAAAAAAAGTCTTATGATTATATTGTAATCTTTGTATTAATCTGGTTCTCAAAAGTAAGTAAAGTTATAAAATAAATGTAGTCGAGTAAAACGTACACCTGTTTTCCTCTCAAATGTAGTGAAGTGGAATTATGAAGTAGCACAAACTCAAAATACTCAAGTAAAGTATAGATACCTCAAAATTGTACTAAAGTACAATACTTGAGTAAATGTACTTAGTTACATTCCACCACTGAGTACTGGCAGTAATGTTTAGGTTGTGATCGTTTGTCTGTGTGCAGGACTGATACAGTGACAGTCACTGGTCAGTATCAGTACCCAGATGATCGACCAGGAGATGTGGATGCTTTTGCCAGAGAGCCTTTTGTTGTCCGCTTCAGAGCCCCAATGACAGGTCAGTTCTCTGTCACTCAGGGTTGCCGTCTAAGATTATGACAAGCGTGGTGATGTTAATGCATATCAACGCTTCTCCCTGCACCCTCCCTCCCTCCAACCCATGTCTATGTGTTCAGCTGTAAAGGAGTTTGTCCTCATACCTCAGCACACTACTCCGGTCAACACCACTAAGGAGCTCGATGCACTGTATGATGTTTTGGACCAGGTGAAAAAGATGTGGAAAACCGAGGTAAAGGCTCATTTGGTTGAATGGTAACATTAGCATGCTTTTAAAATAAGGCTCTAACCATCAGTATTGTTGTGCATGTGTGTATACGAGTAGGATGTGATGCTTCTCGGGGACTTCAATGCTGACTGTGGCTACCTCGCCAAGAAGAACAGGAAGAATGTGCGTCTGTTTACCGATAAGAACCTCATTTGGCTCATTGATGAGAACGCTGACACCACAGTGCGACTGACCACCTCCTGCACTTACGACAGGTGAACTTACAATCTTTAAGGGGCCCGACTACAGGCCTGTGTGTGTTGTTATTTAGTTCTGACTTTCTCTGTAATCATTGGAGATGTTAAATGTACCAGGTGTTTTTTTCCCCCAAGTCCACTTAGCTTGAAGCACAACAGCTGCTGTAGTTGCTGTTTTTAAATAAAAACTGGCCATTCTCATAATGAGGGGCAGTGCTTATTTGTGAAGTTGGAGCACCACAATAACAAAGAATGTGAAGAATGATTAGCATGAGATTATTTTAGAGTATTAGATGTTTTTCTGCAGAGGAAGATACTAAAAAATTGGCCTGATTTACTTTCAGCTAAAAACAGCTGAGTCTTACTGTATATTGATGTTGGTTGCTTCACTTGTACAGTTTGGCGCACACACTAAGCTCAGTGCTGACCGATAAATATCAGGTCTTATAGGGGTTATCACAATTTTCCGCAAAGTTTAAGTGGGAAAAATTCAGCATTTGATTTTATTCATTGGTATCAGACGCGGTACAGTGAAGCTGATCCAAGCTAATGGGACACTACTGTAGTAATGTAAAAGCAAAGCCACTTATCCACTGACCAACCTCACTGAAGTGAAAAGATTTTGTAATGGATGCTGGTGTGACTCGGCCTTAACTCTTTAACATGGCTTCATACACTATATTAAATGAGAAGACATCAGCAAAATGTGTATTTGATTTATAACCTTCTGTCTTACAACAGGATCATTGTGCATAAAGGAAGCTTTGCCAGCACAGTTGTGCCTTCTTCAGCCAAACCATTTAACTTCCAAATGGAATACCGACTCACAGAGGAGCAGGTGACGTGTTGCGTGTGTCCATGTGTGTGAGTGAGAGTAATCATGTATCTAGATTTGTGCTGAGGTTGGTAAACTCTTTCTTCTGTTCAGGCGCTGGAGGTCAGTATGTGTGTGAGTGAGGGTAATCATGTATCTAGTTCTGTGCTGAGGCTGGTAAACTTTTTCTTCTGTTCAGGCGCTGGAGGTCAGTGACCATTACCCAGTGGAGGTCTTGCTGAAAGGTCACAGATCCACGTCCTTCCGGAATGGTGGCACTTCCTTAGCATTAACAGGCACAAAGGGAACTGCACATCAGACAATATTTAATTTAAAGATCTTTGCTTTGTTTGCCCTCAGCCATCTCGTCTTCCAAATGTTAACATGGTAATTTAATAAGAAACCTGCAACAGGACAATCTCAGGGCAACTTACTTCACAAACTGAGGAGAACTTCATGATTCCTACTGATAACACTCCACAAAAAAGGCCCTCGATGTTTGGTTCAGTGTTTGGAGAAACACCAAAGATTACACAACTGTTGACATTTACAGTATGTAATTTGACATATTGCCCAATATTTCATCTGAAAATCTGTGTGGGACTCACAAGTATGGTTAAAGTTTAAGAATCTTGCTTCACAGTATTACAGCAAAAACAGTACAGATGTTGGGAGATGTGAAAAGGCAAGGCAGCTTTATTTATGTCACACATTTCATAGACAGAGCCAATTCAAAGTGCTTTACATAGGCAAAGGAAAACAGTAACAGCATTAAAAGCATCCATCCCTCATCTATACTGCTTATTCCTGAATAGTGTCACGGTCAGTGTCATTTAATATAGTGTATATGGAGCTCATAGTTTGCTAATGTCAGTCAAATCATTTCTATATTTCATAATTGAATAAAATTTGGAAAAGGTGAGGTGATTTAGAGAGTGGCATTAACTTGTTGCCATCATTATTAAACGTTCATGCTTTATATGCAGGTGGTAAAACACACTTTGAATGCTGTGTATAAACTTTGTTCTAAACAGAATTCAAACCACCATCTTTGTTTTAAGTAGACATTTTAAGAATAAGGAACCACAGATCAAATGATGAAATATGTTCTTCTTTGTTTGTTTTTATGTTCTTCTTCCTTATTCTACTCATTACAGTCTCAGTTTTTTTTTTTTTTGTCATCGTAGGAGTTAGTTTCTCCCTTTTCTTCCCTGCAGTGTCACAGAGACCTTTAAATTAAACACACCATCAAGCAGATGCAAATCCAAGGTTGAAGGTATTTAGTGGAAAATTACTTTGCAAAGGTGCTTTTGTATCAACACTTCAATTCCTTTAGTCCCTAACAATATAAACAGATGCTGAATTGACAATGTTTTTTCTGAATTACAGAGAATTCAGTTGTGAAAGTGAAGACAGAAAATAACATACAGATACTGTATGTCCTTCTGGGGAACTTTTGTATTTTTCTGTTTAGAATATGTACAATAAACATCCAAATGTACAAAGGGCTGCAGACTACCGAATGAGGAAATCATCCATTCATAAAATGGGGACTACACAGTATTGGAGACCTGTAGGATTTAGTTTCACAGAGTCCACTAGGTGTCATCATTTCATCAGTAACCAGTCAATACTGGACTGTTTAAATGTCATTCAGATACAGGGAGCTTTCTCTTGTTTGACTGAATAAGGATAAAGATAAGGATAATCACCGTTATTAGCCAAGTATGTTACGCAAGGAATTTGTTTCCGGTACAGAACCGATGGCAGCCCAGAATAAAGAACGATGACATCAGTGCATATGCTCCACTTCTTAAATGTTAACTGTGATTGGGAATCTCATATTTCTCTGAGAGCACTGATATATCTGACTTGATGCTAAGTAACAGAAATGTATACAAAGCAAAAACACATGAATATTCCAGGCAGCTGACACTTCCCTCAGTCAGGATAACTAAACCTCTTTTGACATTAACCCCCACGTGACCTTCCCTGCTGATTGTGCAACCACAGCACATCAGAAAATGAGTCTTCTTTTTATGATGGGAAACACGCCACAGCTCAACCACATGATTACTAATTCAGTAACATTGACAGTGTCCATCTCTATTTGTCTGGTGTTTGATACTAGCGGACAGCTTCCTGTCCCTTCATGTTGGTGCTCAGTCTTGCCTTGCTGCTGCTCTGATGACCTGTTTTCTCGCCCTCTGCCTTCCTGGACGTGTTGGTCTGCTCTGCCTTTTCACAGCTGTCCATCAGGCTGCACTTGAAGTCTGTTTTTGCTATGCCAGCTGTTTTGCATGAACTGTATATTTTTATTGTTTAATTGATTTAATGGTTTATGGCATACTGGTACCTACTGTGTACAAGAATAATAACAAATACATAATTTGTGTGATGTGAAATCAAAACAAATCCCTCAAACCCTGCTCAGTTATATGTTCCTTTCAGCATGGAATCATCAGAGGATTCGCCATAAATGTCCAACAAATGTGAAACATAATCTTCTCTCCACTGGCCTTCATCAGTGTTGTTACTCTCCTCCATGTTTATTGTTAAGAGTTTGTGAGGAGCTGACACTGAATGATGACAACGGATGATATGTGGAGAGGAGGGAGATTCACATTAACACATTAATTCTGATCTGACCATTCTGACAGTGGTCACATGGTTAAATATTCAATATGAATCAAATCTAGGACCGCATACTGTATGGAAGTGGCCTGAATTGGCCTGATTTGAAAAAATCTGATTTGTTTGTTTACACATCCATGAAAAGATCATATCTGAGTCACTTGGAGGGAAAACAATTAGATCAATCCCTAAAGCACATAGTCTGAATGTAGCCTAACTCAGTCTCTTCCTTGCCTCCTTTTTGTACTGGGGAGCAGGTGTTTTTTATAAAAGACACTCTTATGGCTGTTCTGTTCAGATATAATAATCCACTATTAATTTTAATTCTGTTTCTTTTTTTCATTATGCAGTATTGGGGAGGCAGTATGGGGCCTCCTGAAATTGTGCCAGGGAAACAAACAAGTAGCAGGAAATCTGTTGATTTCCAGAAAGTAGCAATGGAAGTAAATGGAACCAGCACACTGTCTATGATGCCTTCTAACATGGTCTGGTTGGTAATGTTAAAGACAAATTGGCTGTCCAGGTGGGTCAACAGTGATGCCTACTCTGCACCTCTATGTCTTGGGTAAGGCCACATTTTCCCCTGTGTCCCGGTGGGCTGACAGCGACACCACTGCTCCAGCCCTTATCATCCTACTCCTCTTTGTGTATTTTTTTCTGCTTGTATTGTCATTTTCTAAAAGACAACTGGGTATTTAAAAAAAATTGTAGCTTTATGTTTTTTTTTTATGTTAAGGCAGGTCAAGAGTGACACTACTGCTCCAGCTGCTGCCCCTGAGTGGGTTGACATCACCACAGTCAAAGTCCCTGGGGCAGTTCCTGTTTTGCCAGTGAACCAGCCTGCTGCCCTGTCCACAATGAAGTTAGCCTTCGTTCCATCTGCTGGACAAGAGCAGCAGCATGTCCATGCTCCAAAGGGGTCCCGCCTCCAACACTGGCCTCCTGCCTGTCCTCCTGAGTGTTTCGTACTCTGATGCTGGCCCCCTGGCTGTCCTCTTAGGGGATCCTGCCTTTGCTATTGGTCAGCCTGTTGGTTCTTGACTTGCCAGAGTGCACTTAGTTGTTAGCAGAGCTCACATGGCCACCTGGGGAATCTTCTTTGGTTCCAAAGCCTTTTTGGGTCAGGTTAGAGGTTTGTAGAGGTTTGTGGAGGTCCGAAGTTCCAGAATGATGTTAGAGGCTATGTGCTTAAAAAAGGTGTTTCTCGTCTTGGAGTCGGATCTGCCTCTCTATTATGATGAATCAGCTTTAAGTCCGTGGCCAGAGCTGGGTCCAGGACAATGGCTTCACCAGTATCCTGCATTTCTGGAATTTGGTGATGTCTCAAAGGAATACTATGTTTAAATTAAACTGATCATCACAAGATCATGCTAATGGTGTTTTTAGAGCTTAACTTTGAAACTTTGTTTGAGGACTATTCACATCTGGTGTGCATTTATTTCAGGTCAGCTTCCTGCCAGGTTACCAAAAATCATTATAGCATTGCTAAATAATAAAAAACCTTTCTTGTGGCAATATGAGCATAAGATTTAGAAAGGGAATTTTAGAGAAAATACAAAAACACACAGACGAGACATGCACACTTTGGAGGCTTAAACTTTCTTCATTCTGTTCCTAATTCATTCTGTTCATTTAGTTTGTGTTCTCTCTTCTCTATTCTCTGTTCTGAGAGCAAGACGGGCAGTGACTCCTGTAGGCGTGCACCAGCTGAGGCTTCACCTGATTGGTCGTGAGTCTACCAGCTGGAGTCCTCTGACTGGCTGGAACTCTGGTGTCATGACAATGAGTTCCTGGTTGGATCTGTAGGGGTGCAGTGTAAAAAATTCACATCCAACCTACAAATGGGATGGAATGGGGGATTCATCTTTTATTTTAAGTTAGTTCTATATGGTGCTGGCATGACGTATATATATAT